GCGTTCCGGCCCGATAACCGGTGTCGTTTGACCCCGCGAAACTGTCCTCGGAGCGAAGTGCGAGGTGGCCATTTGCGATCGCTCTCGCCTTGGCGCGGGGCGGCTCGGCGGGCGCGCAAGACGGCGCTCTTTTGTTATGTCTCGTGTCGTCGGGATCTTTCATTCCTTATGAAGGTGGAGAATTTTATTTTCTTTTTTTTAATTTTTTATTTTTTTTTAGCTCTGCCTGTCTCTCTCTCTCTCTCTCTCTCTCTCTCTCTCTCTCTCTCTCTCTCTCTCTCTCTCTCTCTCTCTCTCTTTTAATCTATATATCTATCTACCTGCCTTTCTCTCGCTCTCTTTTCTTTTTCCTTTTTTCTTTTATCGATATCCGTTGCTCGAGGAATAAATTTCCGTTAATGACATGCAGGGGAAGTCGAGACGCCTGATTTTTTTTTTTTTTTTTTTTTTTTTTTTTTTGCCTACGTTAAAAAAAAAAATAAAAAACGAACAATTTTAAATCATCTATGTCTCAAACGTTATGATGAACTTCATTTGCCATTCATTAAAATGCAAGAACGTGATTATCAAGACAAATAATGGAGCTTGGTAGGTCGTAGCGAGGGAAAACGTGTTTATATTCTAAAATGATTCTTTGGAAAACCTTAATTAAAATTTTCTTTCATACAGTCCGTCTTGTCCGCACACATGCAAATCACATCTATCTGTGAGAGCTTGTAAATATTTGTCTTAAAAATACGGAGTTTCTTCAAGCAGCAGATGCATCATTACAATATAATACCTTCATTTTTTTCTTCTCTGTTTTGTTATGCTTTTGTTTTCTGTTTGTTCTGTACGAGAATGTATGTGTGGTTATTTACATTTTCACAGGGATCTTCTTTTTTTCTTATTCTTTATTTAGGAATCGTCGATGCGAAAGAAAAGAAAAGAAAAAAAGGAAAAAAAGGAAAAAAGATAAAAGGGAAAAGGAAAAAAAAGAAAGAAAGAAGAAAAGAAAAGAAAAAAAAGGAAAGAAAGAACGAAAGAAAGAAATAAATATATATATGTATATATACATATATATATACATATATTTATATATATATATATATATATATATATATATATATATATATATATATATATAGTATATTATTAAGTATTGTAATATTTTCCAATGCTGGCTAGAATGGGTGAAGAGACGAAAACCTGACATCGGATTAGCGTCGCTCAGGCACTGGGTAAAGGACCATCCCCTTGGTTTCTGGTGTGTGTGAATTCTACCGCAATTTTCTCACTTCCACTTCATTAGACGTGGTAATAAAAATCATCAAAAATACGCGCTAATTAGCCTCAATATATGTCCGAAAATGCGTGGTAATTTGCATATCATCCAGGCAGTTAGAAGCAACCAGCCGCATGATACATAATCTTTAAATCCCATTAGGATTTTAATTTGATTCCCGCCCTAGCTAATAATTGCACCCACAGCCAGTACACCACCTCTTCCACCTATGATTGTTCTTGTAATTAGCCAAGCTCTCCCTAAACAATGCAAACTCCCTTCTGTTTAGAAAACGCGACTATATCCATGCATAGAAAACGGACCTCTCTCCACGCATAGAAAATGGACCTCTCTCCAGGCATAGAAAACGCCCATCCCTCGTGCCTCTCTCCACGCATAGAAAACGGACCTATCTCCAGGTATAGAAAACGCACATCCCTCGTGCCTCTCTCTCCACGCATAGAAAATGGACCTCTCTCCAGGCATAGAAAACGGACATCTTTCGCACCTCTTTCTCCAAGCATAGAAAACGGACCTCTCTCCAGGCATAGAAAACGGACTTTTCTCCAGGCATAGGAAATGGACCTCTCTCCAGGCATAGAAAACGCACGTCCCTCGCACCTCTCTCTCCACGCATAGAAAACGGACCTCTCTCCAGGCATAGAAAACGCTCGTAGATCGCACTTCTTTCTCCACGCATAGCAAACGGACCTCTCTCCAGGCATAGCAAACGCACATCCCTCGCGCCTCTCTCTCCACGCATAGAAAACGGACCTCTCTCCAGGCATAGAAAACGCTCGTAGATCGCACTTCTTTCTCCACGCATAGCAAACGGACCTCTCTCCAGGCATAGCAAACGCACATCCCTCGCGCCTCTCTCTCCACGCATAGAAAACGGACTTTTTTCCAAGCTTAGAAAACGGACCTATCTCCAGGCATGGAAAACGCACGTCGATCGCACTTCTTTCTCCACGCATAGAAAACGGACCTCTCTCCAGGCATAGAAAACGCACATCCCTCGCACCTCACTCTCCACGCATAGAAACCGGACCTCTCTCCAGGCATAGAAAACGCTCGTAGATCGCACTTCTTTCTCCACGCATAGAAAAGGGACCTCTCTCCAGCCATAGAAATCGCACAACCCTCGCGCTTCTCTCTCCACGCATAGAAAACGGACTTTTTTCCAAGCACAGAAAACGGCCTCTCTCCAGGCATAGAAAACGCACGTCGATCGCA